ATATAAGAGCTGTCAGTTTACCGCGTTTTTATTGGCATTAATTTAAATGAATTTTAATGTGATTAAATTTTTTCTCGCGAGATTAATGCGGCAGACGTCACAGCGGATGTTACGTTGCTCTATAAATAAACCAGAAACAAAACAAATTCAAAACTGATTCATGATTCCATGTTGATGAGAGCATTAAAATGGGGAAAATTAGGACAAAAAATATAAAAGGAAATTGAGAAATGATGAAAAATGTGTGAGTAATCACGATTATTTTTTAGTGAATTTGAGTTAATCATGACAGTTGCATTTTTAATTAGATTAAATGTTTTAATCGTTTGACAGCTCTAATATATATATATATATATAGTTGGGTGGAGGTGTGTGCAATAAGGGGCTGATGGGTTGAAAGAATGTTGTAATACAGAGTCAAAAAAAAAAAATCATACCAAAACATTGACACCTAAATTAGCTTCTGCAGGTCCGCGTCTTACACAATGCGGTATTTTTAAATATGTGACCCTATGTACAGGTCCTGCCTATGTACCAAACAACAGCGAAGAATACCCACCCTTTTTTGGAGTGCTTTGAGTTTTGTGGAGTCCTACTAGGAACTCCCTCATCTGCTGTGTGATTTCAATGCTCCTCATGATTAGGAGGAATGGCCACCCTGACCAGAACCAAAGTGTTGTCCTGTTCTTGGACTTCTGCGCTGATCGCATACTGTCCATAGAAACCCCATGTTCTAAAGGTAGTGTCTATACAGTATGTGCACTTGGTGCCAGGTCAACCTAGACCACCATTTGATGATTGACTTTGTAATCATGTCACCAGACTTGCGGCTGTATGTTAAGAGTGGATGAAGAGAGGGGCGGTGTTGGCTTTGAGGCATCAAAAGGAATTCTAAATCCCATCTTCGGCAGAACCTTGACCACATCCCAGAGGAAGCAGGGAACACTGTGTCCAAGTAGGTCATGCTCCATCTATACGATGATTGATAATCTCCTAACCCAGAGGTCGGCAACCTTAAATACTCAAAGAACCATTTTGACCGACTATCACAGGAAAAAAAAAGAAAAAAAGTGCCAAAAAACCCTTTTTACATCTGAATTGAGGATGACACTTCATATACCTGTATTGGTTTTGTTAGTTTTTCTGCCTGTATGTATTTAAATAAACGACACTGTGTTGCAAATCGATGAAATGCTTCTTTGTAGGTAGTAAATTTAAGACCTCGATATGGAAAATGAGGACAGTACCTCTGGATTGGTGGACTGGGTTAGTGGTCCACCTTCATAACAGAGCTGCCAAGCTATCAAAATTCACTTCCAGAACAGTTTCTATGATTTTCTATATTTGTAATCTTTTTTCAAGACTTTACCTCCGGACCTCCCGACAATATCAAGTTGGAAAGTATGTGCCTCGCACACCAGCTTGGGCTCCTTTTCTGTCAGAGAGGTGATATTCCATGTCACTAGAGCGAGTTTTAGCCGAGGATTGGACCGCCAAGATCCCAGCCTCTTGTTGCCACCCAGCGCTCAAGGCACCTGACCCCTTTGGTGCCTCACACAGGTGGTGAGGCCATGGGAAGGGGGGACCCATGTGGCCTTTTTGGGCTGAGGAGCGGCTGGGCCCTACGGGTGCTGCCCAAGCCACCAGGCACTTGCCAGTGAACCCCACCACATGGCTCCAAAGAGGGGGTCTGGTGAGCCATGTCCGTGCCCCAAACAACCTTGGACTTCCGATCAGTGGGACACGCAAACCCCTCCATCACAATAAGTAGACAGCTCATGGAGGGGTAACTACTGTACATTGGGGTTCACAACATTGGACGTGAGGGTAGCCTCCCTCCGCCTTCAGATGGGGTATGGATCCTGACTGTTGTCTGTGCCTATGCACCAAACAGCAGTTCAGTGTACCCGCCCTTTTTGAAGGCCTTGGAGTGCGTGTTGGAGAGCCATCCCCCTGAGGACCCCATCGTTCAGCTGGGGGGCATTCCAAT